AAAGCGGCGCAGAAGGATTGGAGGGTGGTGAGGGTCCGAATCTCTTGACAACAGAGGTCCGTCATTAACCAAATTCCACTGTTGTTAGCCATGGACCCAGCTCAATCCAACCATTCTGGACATCTTCTAGCCCCGAGCCTCGATAAGGAAAGGGATTACTTCCTCTTTAACTCTCTTTATCCATCTGTTTCCCCACCACCACCGTTTCTGTTCTTTTGGTCACCCTTTACCCTAATCTGCAGGGCAGCAAGCAGTCAAAGAATGCATGGCTTAGGGGCTGCTTGTCATACTGCAGCTTGGGGGCTTTTAGTGCACTGCAAGAAGCCATAGACAATTCTGAAATCTAAACCACACAACAGTGTGGAGCAAAGCTGCCATGCCCTGAGAAACCCCAGCTGCCCTTGCAATACAGTGCAAAGCCGCAGGTAACTCAAGTTACCCATGCAGCATAGCCAGAGCCACAGCCATCTCAGCCAGTTGCCCTTGCCACCCTGTACTCCAGCCTTTCCAGCTGACCCTCACCATCTTCTTGCTCCTGCTGTTTAAGTGGTATATGCCCTCCATGGCCCGTTGCAAGGCGGCTGCTGACCACATGAAACCATCTTCCCCAGATCTCATGGCTAAATCACTCTACATGACCTTAGGCAGGAAGCCTGATGCGGCCAGAAGCTGCCTTGAAAAAAGCCAGGCCAGACATGTTTGGTTAGCAACAGGAACAAGAAACTGCAAAGGTCAGTTAGAGTGGCAGGAGCTGTGAAGGGTAAAGAGCCAACAGGGCATAAATTGGGAGAGGAGATAGGCAGATGAGGGAAGCTGAAGTGCTCATGTAGTCAAAAGTGTCAGCAGGCTTGCAGGTGCCAAAATTTTATTCACCTGATCGGAGGGCACTGCAACAGCTGTAACTTCAGGGACCAGTCATAAGTTTCTTCATTCAGCGCCACCATAACTTTGAATGATTACTGAACAATTGGTTGTAAGTGGAGGACTACCTGTACATTCCCTTGCCTTAAGTCAGCCTCTCTTAAAATGCTGCAGCTTGCAAAATACTGGTAGGCTATACACTGCTTTTGGTGCTCACTCAGAACAGAGTCATACTGAAATAACAACCATAATCTTTGCCCCTTTTTCCTTGTCTTCTGTTTTAATTCCATCTGCAGAGATAACATCAGTTCAGTGAGGACTTCTACGTAAACATTTTATCATTCAGGTATGCTTATTCCGCCTTTCAAAGGCAAAAAGTGATGTCTTTAAAACAAAACAAATAACACTTGGGCTTCATGCACAACTGGTAAGCCTGCTTGGAAATAAAGCACAAGGAATGGACTCTAGAAACACTACACTACAACCTTCAAGAAATGCTGTTATATCAAAAACTATAATTCAATTTCCCGTTAATAGTTATGTTGAACTGTGTGAGATATAAAAAAAAAGTATTTTGGATTAGAAGATATGTTATTAAAGATGTTCTATCCCAGACAATACCAATTTTTACCTTTAATTTTTGTTTCAATCGTTGGACTTCCTCTTGGATAATCTTATTTTCTTCTTGGGCTTCGTAAAATTTCTTTTTCATAGAGTGCAGTTGTCTTTGGAAACTGTTATTGGTAAGATCAAGCTTCTTCTCAAATTCCTACAATTCAGCATAATAGTGAAATCATCATGTTTTGGTAAAAATATTTCTAAAGGGACAAAACTGAGGAATTGTTTGCATATAATTATTTGTATAAGAGCCACTTTGGTGCAGTGGTTAGAATGCAGTTCCGCTTCTGCTGACGGCCAGCTGACTGCAGTTTGGCAGTTCCAGTCTCACTAAGATCAAGGTTGACTCAGCCTTCCATCCTTCCAAGGAGGGTAAAATAAAGACCCAAATTGTTGGGGGCAATATACTGACTCTGTAAACTGCTTAGAGAGGGCTGTAAAGCACTGCGAAGCTGTATATAAGTCTAAGTGCTATTGCTGTTGCTATTCAAATACTTTTCTAAAATGAAATATTTCATTTCATTTCATGGCCCTTCTCAACTCTATCAAAATATTTAAGTTATAAAGAATTTCACTAATTTCTCTTATTTGCTGACGTCAGTGGTTGGATGCAATATGCAATGAGTCAAGAAATTGACACTTGTTATTTTCATGACAAAATGTCACCTAACATCTGATGAACTGAAAGGCAATATAAAGATGTATAAACTCATGGGTGTATCTTATGGAAAGTCTGAATTTTAACTACTCAAGAGGCATCAAAACAGAAGTGCTTTCTGTTTATCATAGGGTTTGAACAGAGTTTCATGTTTTGCCCTACCTGGACAAATGCTACAAGTACAAAGGCCAAAAAAACGTTCCATCTGCTCCATTTTCGAGCTCTGTATTACTGTATGCTAACATTTTCATACAGTATAAATTTCCCCTAACTTTCCATTGCAATTTAGAGAGGCAGCATATGGTCATATGTACGACCTTAAAGAAGAAATAACTTGATAACAAGTTCTAGATCCTGCGTTAGCAAACAGTATTACAAATTAATTCCTAGTCAAGTCAAGGTTTTATCATGGTGATAAGGAGGCTAGAAGTGGTTGGAGACTTCTTGCCAGTTGTATTCAGTTTTATTCAGCTTTAATAAAGTTTCATGTTATCATTAAACATTCATATTATTCTACTTCCGTTTTCATTCATTTAAACTCCTATGCTTCAATTTTCAACTCATGGTGGGTGGCAAATAATAAGAAAAGATCCAAACTCCCATGTTGCCTGTCCTCTTGATATTCAGCTTATTTAATCTTCCTAATTTAAGTGTTTTTATTATCTTTTAAAACTTTTATATTATTCTGTAGGCCTTCCAGAGTCGCTTGAGCAGTGCAATGGGAGGCATACAAATGAAATAATAAGTCAAGCAAAATTAAATCAAATTTAACAATAGCACAAAAATATTATATGCGTGTTCCCATAAACTTAACCCTAAAGCTGCATTATTAACACTTGCAAACACAGAGTGACAGAGTAACCTTAGAAATTTTATTTCTATGAGTTTGACGAATGAAGGGCCTTAAATAATGGAGGAATTACTATAAGAGAAGTTTAGGGACTATTCTCACCAATAACCTGTCTCTGCATCATCTCTATGTAATTCCAGAAAATCCCCATTCTCCAGGTTTTCTTAGAACATAGGGAAGCTGGTGAAAAGTACTTCATCCTTTTCTATTCGCAGGTACACAAAGCCTTCTGTGAACTCAGCTCCCCTCTTACAATCTTAAGGATCCAATTAAGGATTCTAATGAATTAGTAGTATGTCAAAAGGAAAGGTGAATTTAGAATTTAATTTGCAGTGAAATTCTATACATATTTGTTTAGAACTATAAAGTATGTTCAGGAGTAACAGCCCCGCTGTTTACTGGCTAAGATTTTACATCTGTGGATTATAATGGCAATGTTAGTAAATAGCATATGATAGGGGTTCTTTGTCAGATTCAAAGAAATCACAAGACTAAATTGCCCTGTTTTCGTTTAATTTTGTTTTTGTTTTTCCTGTGAATGAGTGGCCGGTAAGTGTGTAAATATGGCATGCACCATAGAATGTACAAAATAAAGCTTATCTTTTAAAATGCTTTTTTAAATGGCTCTCACCTTAATTTTCTTCTCACTGTCTTCCAGTCTAGTTACTGCAATTGCCAGCTTCTTTGCCAGCTCATCCCGTTCCGGGAGATTCTTATCTTCTGCAAGTTTTTTCAGTTTTTGCAAAGCACTTTTAGCTCTGAATAGCTCTTCCTCTGAAGCCTTGAGTTTCTTCTCAGTTGTTTGTTCCCTTTCTTGTGTTTTTCTTAAGCGCTCCTTTAGTATTCTCATCTCATCATTATGCCGCGCCAGAAGTTGAGAGATTTCATTTTCTGTGTCTTCAAACTTATGAAGGGCTTTCTCATGTCTGTACTGAAGCTGCTTTAGTACCCTATTTTCTTTCTGCAACTCATCAAGTTTGACATGCAGCCCAGTCAGTTCATTACGAAGCTCGTTAATTTTCAGCAGCCTAGCAGAAAGCACTCTCTTTGTAACAAGGCTGATATCTTTGGCAGGAGACTCCCTGGTGAGGCTCTGGGAGTAAAAACCCCAGCGGGTTCTCTTGCTGGGTGCGTATTTAGAGTAAAACGGCTTTGTGGCTACAAAGAAATACAACAAGGTTAAGATTGCAATGAAAATTAGTAAAATCGTACCAGGATTGAAATTCCTTAAATGTACAATTTCATAGCTTGCAAACACATTACAACAATCTCTCAAATGTTCACTTTGAAATCAGCAATCAGCACTCTTGCACCATTTATTTTTTTTAATCCTGATTTTCTAAAAGCCTTTTAAAAAGAAGATACCAGTCTAACAGAGTTCAATATTTTAGCACATTAAAGGAGAACCTGAATTCTTCAAATATACTGTAAAGTTTAAAAGCACTTATGGGTTAGGGTAGGAGAAGAGAGGCAATAAAGTTGTACAAAAGTAAACAAGGAGAAAAACTAAAAATAGATGACTCATCTAGCTGAAACAAAACTAAAATGAAACTAATACTGTATTTGGTGTGCAAAAAATCTGAATCATTTAATGGCAGTCCATCTAGTATTCTCTGAGCTTTTGCAGCCCGAATACTATGGTAAACACATTGTGACTAATTAAATATTCAGTCTGTAATTAAAAATAAGAGAAAGCTTTGTCAATCTTTTAAAAGAACAGTATTTTGTACTGTCTGTTTATGCACTATTATTGCCAAATGAATGTTTAAATGGTCATGATCAGTTGATCTGTTAACTGAATAAGAGACTTAATACCTATTCTCTCTACTGACTTGTATCTAAGATGCTATACTATGAGGTGAAGAAAGGAGATATTTATAACTGACTACATTCAATTAATACATATAATTACAAGGACAAAAATATGTTCCAATTTAATTACAAAGAAAAAGCAAGCCCGGGTACTTTCTGTTGAGTAAATTGTACTTTTTTTATTTTAAAACCTAAATGTTAATTTTTTTATTACAAATGTCAGCTTAACTTTGAAATATGCCATATTTCAAAGGAAATAATCTTATTTTCATATAATTCATTTAACACCATGATACACACAGACACACACACACATAATAAATTGTGTTTTGCCAACTACTTACCATGATAATCTGAATGGCTTTTCAAGTTCTGTGTTTTACTGCTTCTATTTACAGTTTGTATAGACTGCGTGCTGATGGTTGGAGACTGATCAGAAGCATGCGATGAATCATCATCTGAGTAATATGAATTACTGCTTTTATCGCTGTCTGATTTTCTGCTATGCCCAGAATCCAGACTCCTTCCTCCTTCCTCCATTACAAGAAACTTTTCCTCAAATAGTCATTTTCCAGATGAAGGCTCATTACACAGTCACCACTGGCTTCTTGTCAATTCATTACCTAAGTTTAGAAAGAGTTGCTGACATCACTTTGGCAATCAATATTTCTCATGTATCTTTTAATCCAAATTCAAAGAAGAAAATGGAAGCTGATTATAATAACCATTTTAAAATGAATGGCAGTGGCCAATAATTCTTCCATTTAACGTTTAATTAAGTCTTATTTATGTACATTTGTGAAACGAACTTCTGCAGATTAGAGTTTGTTAATTATAAGTCATGTTACACATTACTAATTTATCATTACTTGTAACACAACAGAGGGATTCCTTCAAAGGAAGATATTAAAAAGCATATGCAGAAGGGCAGCACAACACTTGAAAAAAATACATAATAATAAATAATTCCAAAGAAATAGATATATGAATAAATCATGTTCAGTATGAGAACATTCATAATTTTATCAATTATTAATTTATAAATACATGAAAGTCCTTTGATTTGAACATAGCCAAACATTTTTAAAGTTAAGCAAATATTTAAGATGGTCTCAACTAGTTGTTATGTTCAGTTTTTTTAAGCATCCACAGTTCTTACTAAATCAGACCAAACTTTAATCTATACCAAATATTCTTTTTCAAAATGACTAATTATAGGACATGCTGCTGCTGCTGAATCCTTCAGATTCCCAGTGATTCTAGATTTTTCTCCTAGGCGCTGCTTGGAGTATCCAAGCATGGGTTAACTTCAGCTTGCTGCCCAAGGACTGAGTTCAAACTTGGTGTAGCCACGCCTCCTGCTCCCTTTAGAGGCCAGTTTAAAAAAAACTCAAGTCGCCCTAAAAGGACGCAGTTGGGAGCTCCCGTCCTTCATTACATGGTTGGACTCTCCAAACAGTAAAATAATGTAGCCTTTTATTATTTTTCTTCTAGAAATAGCATAGGATTGTGACCATCAGTTGGAATGGCCTTTCCTATTCGCGTAGAGCAGGCTGCTCGGAGTTAGGCTGCCTTCCGCGTTATCGCGGTTGAGGCACCACGGCAGGGGGACTCGTTAGCAGCTACTGACAAGCCTGGGGCCAGGTAGGTAATGGGGGGGGGCAAAATGCTGTCGGAGCTCTCCTGTAGCTGCAGAGACTGCCAAAGCCCCTCCGCAGTTTCCCACAGTCCCCAGTGCCGCTCTGAACCGCACAGTGGCCATTTTGGACTGTTTGAAAGTGGTGTGAAAATTCCTGGGCCATTTTGAACTGTGCTGTCTGACTCCTTAGCAGATCGCCGCTGGGAGGGGTCATTAATTGAAGGACCTCCAGACAGGTCCCCCCCTCCCCAGGAACAATGTTCCCTAGCGGCTGCAGGGTGTTTGGGTGTTGTTTTGGCCATACCCTGCTTTAAGCGTGGATCTGCGGGCACTCTGGACTTTTCCGTAAGGTGCATTTTTGTCCTGCTTGAACTATCTCACCCAGGCAGAGGCCCTTTGCTTGGATTTGGGACTTCAATTGACTATTGCCTTATCACCATCTACAACAACCTGGTGGTGTAGAGTTGACTGGTTTTGCCTCGCCTCTTCAGCATGGCATCCACCAATGCAGCCGAGAAGATAGATCAAGCATTCTCACCTCCCCCTAAGCGTAGCAGAGTAAAGGTACCGGGAACCCTCCAAAAGGGAAGCAGCCCAAACCTCTGAAGATGTCTAAAGCATCAGCTAGGTTGGTGGAGCCAGAGAGCCATGTTCAAGGCCATTGTCACTATGGCCAAGGCATCCTCCATCCAGATGGGCTTCTCAGGCCAGGCCAGCAAGAACACCACAGAGCAAGGAAACAAGGAGACCACTGGGTCCAGAGAACCAGGGGGCCCTGGAGAAACAATTTCAAAAAGCCCAAAGGTTTGAACGGCCTCCTTCCCCCCCCCCCCTGTGGAGGCTCCTGCCAGGCCTTCTATGCCCTCCTTTCATAGGGAAATCTCACCATCCCTGGTGGAGGAAGGGGACTTTGATCTATCGTCAGACCACTCAGGGGAATCCTCAAATCCTTCCCTAGTGGGAAGGTTAATACAGGAGGTCTGTTCCCTCATAGAGGAGGTGGTTCCCTCACTCCAACCCTTAGATCTAGGGACCATCGCCCAGCTGAGGACCAGGACCACAATCTCTCCAATGAGATGAGGGAGGTCATTGCCAGCGCAATATCTCAGGGCATTGCTGAGGGCACGAGACAGGTCACCGCCTGCCTCGCCAGGGCCGTTCTAAGGTCAGGCTTCAGGAGGCGGGTCCCAAAGACCAGACAGGAAGGTCTATTTCCCTGGCTTCCTCAGCTGTCAGCGAGGAATCTGAGGTAGAGGAGGGTGGTCAGGAGGCCCTGGAATTGTCGGAAGACGAAAATCTAGCTCCTGATCCCCCCCGCCTTTTCTGGATTGTTTAAACCTTCCATGTTCAAGGCCATCCTCACTAAGGCCAAGGCATCCTCTATCCAGATGGACCTCCCAGGCCAGGCCAGCAAGGACACCACAGAGCAAGGAAACAAGGAGACCACTGGGTCCCCGGACTCAGGCGCTGGCCTCTTCAAGGAGGCTTCTCCGCCCCAAGAGCTAGTTCCAGTTCCCCAGCTGTTCCTGGATGTTATCCAGAGTCAGTGGGCTCAGCCAGGGTCCTTGGCCAATCCGAGTGGGGTAGATAAGAAGCTCTACTCAATGGAGAGCAATATTGAAGATCTTTTAAAGCTTCCCCTGGTGGATGATCCCATAGTTGCCCTAATTTCCAACTCCGTTCTTCCAGCCGATCTGCTGGAAGGACTTTAGGTGGAGAATAAAAAGGTGGAGAAGTCCTGTCATAAGACCCATCAGGCCATTGCATGGGCCGTGAAAGCCTCTTCCTCCTCCTCCTATTTCAGCAGGGCCTCACTTTTCTGGCTCTGTAAACTACAAGCCAAATTACCAGCTGGCGACACTATTCGGCTGACGCTTCACTTAATGCCACCAAATGATGATGGAAGCAGAAGCCCTAGGGCGATGGGCAGAGTACCACCTCGAGTCATTGAGAGCGGATCACATCTGGGGGAAGGAGAACGTGACAGCGGACTGGCTAAGCAGAATGACCATTAGCAACTTGGAATGGCAAATTCATCCATCTCTGTTTCACCAACTGACCCAGAGGTTTGGCCTTCCGACAATAGACCTGTTCGCCAGTCCAGAGAACACACACCTCCCCCAGTTCTTCTCAAGGTTCCAATGTTCCGGCGCGGAAGGGACGGACGCCCTTCGATGCTACTGACCTCCCAGCCTAACCAGGATATTCTTTCTTCCCACCCTGGGACTACATAGCTTGGGTATGTCCCATGCTTGGACACTCCAAGCAGCGCCTAGGAGAATGACCATTGGCTTACCTGAATGGTTGTTCTCTAAACACTGTGGGAGTGTCCAACCCCGCCCTGGGGCATCCGCAGGTGCGTATGTTACCACCTCTGAGGACATAGAACATCTGGTTACAACATCCTTCTAGGACTCATCCCTTCGTTTTTTAAAACTGGCCTCTAAAGGGAGCAGGAGGCGTGGCTACACAAACTTTGAACTCAATCCTTGGGCAGCTGAAGTTGAAGTTAACCCATGCTTGGACACTCCCGCAGCGCCTAGAGAACGACCATTCCAGTAAGCCACAGTCATTTTCATTTAGAACATAGACTTCATACTTTTTTATCATTGGTTAGACTTGTTTTCCCCAAATTTGTCTACTCGAAATCTTTAAAAATTAAATCTAATATGAACAGGACTATTTTTATAGTACCATATTATATAAAATAGATCATGTAAACATTAAAAGTCTGGTACTCAGTGGAGAAAATACTGAACAATGAACCAATATTTTGACTTCCTTTATGACAACATACAGTCTTTCATGTTCTTTCATTCTAATATGAGTAAGAAGACTCTCCATATTGTTTAGCATATGGAAGTTTACTATATTATATTTTAGCCCCTAAAACTAAATGTCTCAGAGCATAAAATGTCCTATGGCATTTTATCTCCATCCCTTGCCGCTAACTCTAAATATCATTTGTTCATTTCATCAGTATAATGTACAATTTCCTATCTTTAAGTGAATGTGCATCTTCTCGGTTTAATGTTCCTTCTCGTCAGAGGTAAATTTAACCATTAAATTATGAAATGAAAGTCACCTTTTAAAAAAAAATCACCATTTTTGCTATAATTCTGATCTCATTTATCTAAAAACTACTTCAATAAATCTCCACAGATGCCTTTTGGAACAATTCTTGCCTTTGGCATGATTATTTCGACTTTAATTTTCATTTGACAAAATAAGAAAATGGAAGCTTTAATTAAAGAGAAATTGTGTACAATTAACTGGGATGCCTTCCACAGTAAATACGTTGTATAGAGATGAAAAACAGAGATCCGCATTTTAACACATCAGTGTAAATTGCAATGGAAAAAAGTGTTTTCAAATTGAGGAATTCATAGTTATTTGGAGTGGTCATAAACGGATACATACATATATGTCACATTTCAATTTACAAATGCAGCTTAAGAAAAATTGCACAGTTCTCTAAACAAAATTTTACGTGGGAATGTATTTTTTCCGCATTTACATTTACTGAACAAACTCAGATATAATGTTTTAACATTACTGTTGTAATTCTAGGCCAATTTTTTTTTTCTGACAAGTTCTACTGAATTTAATGGGATATACTTTTGATTGTACCATCATAAAGTAGCCACCACAAAGCAAAAACCATAACGTATTAATAACTGAGGAAAGCTTTCATAACTAAAGGTAATGTTGGAAATGTTCTCAGAGAAAGGTTTTACAAGTATAATGTTGTCCTATCTACAGTTCCTTATAAAATTAATTTGCTTTGAAAGTTGTGCTATGGATGTGTTTTCCTAAGACAGATTTTTAGCATTAACATTTCCCAGTAGAAAAAAATGATCACATTGTGGAAATATAGCATTAAATGTAATTAGTTGCAGTAAAGATACCCCTCAATTTGAGCTTTATTCTTAGGGACCACAGCCATGCAGTTTTCTGGGCAGTATTACAGACATGGTTTGTTAT